GGTGGGTCAAACACTCTGTAAACACTCGCATAGTGGTGCTGACTGAGACCCTGCAAAAGGGAATGGTAAACCCAAACCTGGAATATGTGTTGATTCCAGTCAGGATGAGTTGCTGCCGCTTCCATAATAGAAGGGGGTGAGTGTAATCAGTTTGCCATCAGCTGATGGTGTTTCTGAGGGATGGTGCTATATTGGGTGCTCAGCTTCGGTGTGTCTTTTGCTGGAAGGTTACAGTCAGCAGTGGTAGTGGCTAGCTCAGTTTTGGTGAGTAGGAGCCCATGCTTTTGGACCCAAACATAGCATTCATCACTGCCATCATGGCTACTGCACATACGAGCCCATTGTGCCATGGATGGTATTTTAGGACAAAGATATAAACCCAACAGTTAAAGTGTTGTATGCAGTTTGGGCCATATTAAATATGACACAAGTATTCGTATAAAACATTTATGCCCTAGAATCATGACAATCATAAAAATATGAATGTAAGCATCACAGTTACAAATGGTTAACATGTAATATAAAATGTAAATTTGTAGCCATTGTTACAAGCTTAATTTCAATTATACCTTAATTCCAAAATCCTGGATTAAGCTATGTACTTCCATGAAGTCATCTGCCTCAAAAATAAAAGATGACTGGAAATCATGTCTGAGGCTCTTCATACAGCCTGACAAGTTTGTGGTAATGGAGTGAATTTACACAGAGAAGCCTGTGCCCTCTTCCTGGAGACTCTACTTATGATCTGTAGCTTGTAGCAGGGGTCTTCAGATAAGTTAATGAAAAAAGCTGAAACTATCTGAGGATAATAAGACTGACTGGTTCTAAAGAGTCTATTATAATTACCAACAACATTAGAATGGAAGATAACAGAATGCTGTAATGAAGAATAATGAATGTCAGTCCATGTGTGTAAATCAGTGATTACCCTGGAATGAGAGAATATTATGAACAATAAGGGCATTAATAAATATTCAGAGCCTTTTATTAATGCCGTAAACTATATTACAATTAAACCCAATAGATAATTTAGATTTTTCAAAGACAATTCTCATAACCTAACAATAGAATCACATAATTTCAGTTGTTGCACCTGTGGACTTGTCATAAGTTATAAAGACATTGCTTATTTAAATTTCACTCATGATCCTAGCCAGTTTGCTCAGTGGATAGAGTGTCAGCCTGTGGACTGAAGGGTCCCGGGTTCAATTCTGGTCAAGGGCACATGCCCGGGTTGCAGGTTCTACCCTCAGTAGGGGCGTGCAGGAAGTAGCAGATCCATAATTCTCTCTCATCACTGATATTTCTCTCTCCCCTCCCTTTCTCTCTCTGAAATCAATAAAAAAAATATCCTAAAAATTAAATGAATTTCATTCATGAATACATTATTATAATTCAATTTAGATGACCACACATGTTCACAATTTGAAAATATTGAATGTTTAGCAAAATTTTAGCTTAAGGCCAGTAAATTCTGTATAGGAAACTTAGAAATAACAGGTAAATTAGATTTTTATGAATGTAAATAAACCCTAATCTGTATAAACTAAAATATTAATGCTACCATTTTAACTCTGTGATAAAACTAAGGACTAGGCATATTGTAAAACTAGCCTAATGTGCAGAGATTCACAATTCCAGGTAAGAGCACGCCTATCAGTGTGAAACTGGACTGAAGAGTCTGTCGAGGGGAAAAAGTCAATCATTTGCCTGGACTGGGAAAGAGATTGGTTCATGGTAGCTTTGCTCGCTAAAGACTGAAGGCTGAACCCTTAACTAATTCTGGATAGGACAGAATTAGTCCATAAGTCTGTAGATAGTTGGTCAAAATGAGTGCCATTTTTGATTAGTCAGGAAAAGTGTCAGTTGGGTTGTTATGAATTTGTGCTTCAGCTGTGGGATGCTCAAACGTCATGGTTTGTCAGCTTCAGTTGGCTAAAGCCCAATGCACTGAAATAGTTCGAATGGTTTGAGGTCTTCTAGCAAAGGTTTGATCTGATCAAAATTTCCTTTTACTTTAGTGAGTATCTAGTTGCTATCATGTTATATCCCATTGGATAAGTTTACAAGAGTGGTGTAATAGTTTTATTTTAAAACTTCAATTTTATTTTGCCAGACAGAATGAACTTTGCATCTAATTTAAACTCATGGTGAACATATTAGATATTAAAATATAAAATGTGTGAAAGTATATATATATGTTTATATTTAAAATTATAGAACATTTGAGCAAAAAATATCTGAAGTTCTCTGTTTTAAGATAAATGTTGATTCCCTTGGGTATTTTCTTTGTAATTCTTTTGAGCTTTGAACATGTGAATAAAAATGGAGAGATTTAGTTATGTGTTGTTTAAAGTTTTGGAGTCAAGAGCGGCATCAACTCTTGTTTTAAACAACATTAACTCAAACAGGCAGTCAGGCTATGATCAAGAGATTCCCTCTCCCAAACCTCAGTTACATCCGTAAGCAGTAAAATAATTTTGGTTTGTTTTAAGTAAAGCCTTTGTTTTCTAGTTCCAGCCAAGGCTGTAAACTGAGTGTCATTTGGTACATGCCCTAGATTACAGAAGGAAAAGAGGCAACAAAGCTTTGGCTGCTAAGAATAAATGTTGTTTATACTTTATTTCAGAGCTTCATTGCACTAAAAAAAAACTCAACCCTCCCCCCCAAAATATCTCTCTAGGTTCTTAGTATTTATAATTCTGAAGTCAGTTGGATCTGACTTCGCATCCCTTTTTTCTTCTCTGATAGTGATGAACAAAATAGCCCTTAAAAATCATAGAGTCAGTTGAAATTCGGTTAGGGCATCTGTCAGTCCCATAATATCAAGTGTGGGCCAGCATTTAAAAATGGGTAATTAGGAACCTGCTCTTTTTGCTCTATTGAGATTCCTGCCAAAATCTCCCCATTGCAGATGGCCTGTGGGAACTTGGCCCATGAAAGCCCCAATAGGGTTCTATTTAAGTCTCTGTGTTGGACAATAACCCTTAAGCTAGGGCCTCTGTGACTCAGCCAGATTAGAATCCAAAACAAAGCACAGAGCTGATTACCACCAGATTCATCTGCAAGGGACCCAACAGAGCCCTGCGCCCCAGCTGTGGCTGGCCTTGTTTGTTTCTGGTATCCGCCTGGGTGTCAGGACTGTATCTGTGTCTCCCGGAAACCAGAGGCCAGTAGAAGGGTAGGCTAATACACTCTCCCTCTGTACTGTCAAATAGAGCATGGCTAGTCACATATTAGACCCTGGAAGACTTTGTCAGCAAGGTGATGGAAGACATTCCTGTTGATAGGTCTTAGCAATCAAATGACTCCTTCATTTACATATTGCATTATAAAGAACTTTGCAAGTATATTACCCCATTTGAATCTCATAACTACTTAGTGGTATGGGAGAGGTTTGTAGTATAATTACTGTTTTCAGGTGAGGAGAAAAATTAGAAGGTTTAAGATTCCCCCAGCCAATAACAAGATCCAGTGCCATCTCTCTATCAGCATCTATTTGATGTACAATCATCTGATGTATGAATTGATGAAGTGGTGGCTGGGTAATAGCATTTGAGATGCTGCTTAACAATACATTTGATACAGCAACATTCAATAAGACCTCTAGTTGTGGCTTCGGCTGCTATCATGCCAACAGTCCATCCTATAGATTTCCAACCACGTGGCATGTTTGTATTGCAGACTGAATGAAATGAAAATGCTAGCATATTTGCAGTGTCTTAGGGGTTGGAGGAGAGTGATGTGAGGAAGCATATTTCTATGTGGTTTGGGTTAGGTGTTTAAAGTCTAGAGAGCATGGAGTTGGTAATTGTATCATGATGTGCTAGCAATGACTTTGTTCAATTCATCCGAAGACATGCATGCCACGTGTAGGAAGTTCACAGAGCTCAGCTAAGTTGTGGGGACCTGTTTAAGGACCATCACAGGGACTTCTCTCAAAAAAGCAATAATTTCACTGGACAGATAATACACGTGCACATAAAATAACAACTTAAGGAACTATTCACTAATGCCACGGGCAGGTACAAGTGGTTAGGCCTATGGTTTAGAATGAGAGTTCTTTTAATGTGAATGAATTTTTTAAGTTAAAATTATCTGTAGACATTAATCAAGACTTCTTCAGCCAGTGCCTTGGTAGCTTTTCTGCCTGTCACATTTTCTTTTGATCACTTGACAAAAGCCCTCTTTGAAAAATGTTTCGTCGTTGCTCTGAATTCATTTTTTGGGGTTTAGATTTCACAGGCAGATAGAATAGATGAGCCTGGGGAAGGCTAAAACCACCCTTTGAGCATTACTGCATGCTTCTCTCTGGTCATTATGTAGGGAGAGCAGCCAAAAAACACCTCTTCTGTTCTTCCGTTTGTTCATTTAAGAGGATTGAGTTTGCCATCCCATTAATCTCATTGCTGATTGCTGGTGAGGAATAACATAGAAAGCTGCTTGTTTTGAGTCCCAACATCCCAAAGGGATGATGAAAGTCATTGAATTTCTTTCTGCACCCTGGGACTTCTCCCACATCCTCACTTCTGGGTCCTAACTCTCTGATCCTTTATTTCTCTCCATGTGGGTTCTCAGATGTTGAAGTTGTTAGAACTTCGGAGATGGATGACTGTTGTTATAGAGAACCATGTGAACCAGTTGTGACTTTTCTTTTGTTTTTACTATCAGAACCACATTTTATTTGGGGAAAATGCATTTCTCTCTCTCTCTCTCTCTCTCTCTCTCTCTCTCTCTCTCTCTCTCGAGTCTGACTTTGAAATTTTGAGTACTTAGTGGTACAGCAGATACTGGTACCTCCTCTCTAACAGTCAGATGACCTGGGAATAGGAAACTTTTGCATGGCAGAGGGTGGAGAATGTAAGTGCTGAACGTGTCCCAGTTACCTTGAGTGGTGGGGTCAGTTCTGTCTCTGTTCACTTCCTTGGACTTCAGGAGGGCAGATGCACACTGTGATTGAAGTGGTTTTAAATTTTCTATCTCTTGTCCTAACACCCCAGGGCTTTCAGCAGAAATTCTCCTTCCACAGTAAAGAGATTGTGGCTATCAGCTGTTCCTGGTGCAAGCAGGCGGTAAGTTGGGAGATGGAATAAAACAAAGTGGGCTCATGTTCTATAAAAATAGACTTAGGCCAAAACCGGTTTGGCTCAGTGGATAGAGCGTCGGCCTGTGGACTGAAAGGTCCCAGGTTTGATTCCGATCAAGGGCATGTACCTGGGTTGCGGGCATATCCCCAGTAGGAGATGTGCAGGAGGCAGCTGATCGATGTTTCTCTCTCATCGATGTTTCTAACTCTCTATCTCTCTCCCTTCCTCTCTGTAAAAAATCAATAAAATATATTTAAAAAAAAATAGACTTAGGTCATTGCTTGAATTCCTGTCTGTAAGTGGAAGGTCATCCAATGTATGTATTGTTTTCCTCACATAGGATCGTTGGAGGAAGAAAGACATTTAAAACTATAGAATTATAGCACATATGAGCTGGAAGAAACTACAGAGATGAATTAACCCCTTCATTTATACACATTGAATTCTGGGCTCAGAGACTGGAGAATTCTTCCCTGGTTCTGACCCTGGGTCTAGAATCAAGGACTTCTCCCTCTTAGACCATATATTTTTTTCCAGTTACACTAGGTTGTTGACAACTTTTCCTATGGTAGGAAGTTGCACCATTAGGAAGAAAGCAACTTGCAACATTAGGTAATCCTTCTAACAGGGCAGTCTCGGCATCTTGGTTCTTCTGTTTTTTTTTATGTAGGCACCATTTTTGGTGTGTGTGGGAAAGGGCTATGTTAGAATAAGAATGGTTTTGTATCCTTTAAATTTCAATGTTACAGTTGTCTGCATGCTCATTGAAATGTAACTCTTCCTTACACTTGAACATATATACTCATTAGAATCCAGTAGTAAATTTTTATTTACTTTTCTTCTTTTTTAATCTATCCCAGTGATGGCGAACCTTTTGAGCTCCGTGTGTCAGCATTTTGAAAAACCCTAACTTAACTCTGGTGCTGTGTCACATATAGAAATTTTTTGATATTTGCAACCATAGTAAAACAAAGATTTATATTTTGATATGTATTTTATATATTTAAATGCCATTTAACAAAGAAAAATCAACCAAAAAAAATGAGTTCGCGTGTCACCTCTGACACGCATGTCATAGGTTCGCCATCACTGATCTATCCTTTTTTTAAAGCCCCTCTGTCCCAACCAGATGGTTCATTTTCCTACTTGTTTGCCTGTGTACCTGTTCTTTCTTTAAGCAGACAATGTATATACATTCTAACTCATGGGTCGGCAAACTGGCCCATAGGCCGACTCTGACTACTGCCCGCTTTTGTGAATAAAGTTTGATTGAGACACAGCCATGCTCATCCATCTATGTATTGTATTTCCCTGGGCCCCCACTTGTCAGGAGAGCCTACTGCTGTTACGTAGAGATGCATTGGTTTGAACAGCTCAGTGCTTGGCATTTCCATCTCCTTTTAGTTAATTGTTACTGAAATAGTCCTTGTGCTTCAATTCAAGAATACATTCACAAATACAAGGCTATCCTAGTTCTTGATTGGAACTGTTCCATCAAGGCAATATCTCCATCTGGAGTGGAAGAAGCAGATTCAGGGTCCAGGTGTCCAACAATACTTGTGTTGCTGGTTTCCCTGATCTGGTAAAACCCCATTGGGGTTCAGCATCATTGGTGGCCACGGGCTCAGCTAGGCAGCATCTATTCTTGCCCCCAGAGGTCTCAGGCTGTGGTTAGATGTTCTGTACACATTCAATGAATTGGGAACTTAGTCCCACTTTCTAGTGAACACATGTGCTCTCTCTTCATTGATCTGTAGTCCAACTGAATCACTATAAAGATGACTTTCATTTGACCCCTGTGACAGAGCTGTGCTTAATTCCACATACTTTTGGGTTTCCCAGGATCACACATAGAGGAGGTGATTTTGCAATGTTTAACAATACAATACCTTTTTAAGACAAATTGTGGTGGGGGTATATTTTAGCACTACAGGTAATCCCTTCTAGAATATCTATGTCAAACAAGTAATGTCCTCTATGGGCACTTACTACATCAGGGGGGGGAAAAACTGGGATTGGGAGCTGGGTTTCCTGGATTCAGGTCCTCACATTACCACTTTTGGACTCTTCTTATTCTCTCTAGATTGGCAGTTACTCAGATGTAGAGTCAGAGAGTTGAAATAGGCAGATTCTGAGATCCCTTCTATTTTAGACATGCAGTGGCCATTCATTTGGGAGTTTATTTGAATTTCTAAAAGTGAATCATTTACAATATTTTCTTAATTTGAGAGAATTTTAAATTTAAGAAAAGTTGCAAAAAGTTGCAAAGTGTATATGAATGTATACACTTTCATCCAACTTCCTCTAACTCCCTCTAATTTTGACAACTTACATAACCATAGTACAATGAATAAAATCAGTAAATATTGATATATTACTAATAACTAAGCTACAGATTTTTAAAACATTCACTAGTTGTTTTCTTAATGTCCCAGGATCTATTTAAGGATCCCACAGTTCATTTAGCTGTGGAGTTCTTGACATTTCCTCGTTCTTTCTGTCTTTCATGACCTTGGCACATTTAATGAGCACTGACTGGTTATTATGTGGAATGTCTCCCAAACTGAGTTTGCCTTATGTTTTCTCATGATTAGATTGAAATTATTCATTTTAGGCGAGGTATGAGAGAAGGGATGGGATGTCTTCCCTGCATCTTATTCAGAGGGCATAATGTCAATGTTTTATTACTGATGATAATAACCTTGATCACTTGATTAGGTGGCATTTGCTATATCCCTTTCCAATTGATAAATATTTGGGGGAGATATTTTGAGATTATACTGATATATTTCTCCTCAAACTTTTGCCTACTGATTTTAGAATTCATTAATGAATCTTTTAACAAAACTATTTAAATATTTAAAACATTTTTTTAAAAGAAATAAACTTTATTATTTAGAACGGTTTTAGGTTCACAGCAAAATTGAGGTGAAAGTAGGGAGATTTTTCCATATATTTCCTCTCCTTACACCATCACACATTCCCCACTATCAACATCCCATGAAGAAATCACCTTTAAAAAAAGATATTCAAATAACATTTTTCTGGTATATCAAATTATTTTCGGATCACAAATAACTGGTGGTTGGGGAAATTATGAAGCTGTATTCCATACTTAATTAACTGATTTAGTAGTCTCTGGATCACGTCAGATCGTGAAGATACGCAGAAATGAAGACAAAACCTGCCTGATGAGGTATAATTGGGGTGGCCATATTTTCCAGTTTCCTTGAGACAGTCCTAATTTACATCTTTTGTTCCAAGATAATTATTGACAGTACTCCCTTTCACTCTTAAAATTGTTCCAGTGAAGATGATAAATTATGTGGTCACATTAAATAGAATCCAAGTAGAAAGCATGTCAAATTTTTAAGAAAATCACTATAATTAAAACGTTAAGGCTTATAATGTGATTTTATGTTTATTAGAAAACAGATGTCACCACACATCATTATCCCTTTACAGTCGCACAAAAGATGATTGAAAGTGTAATTGGCCTAAGGTCACTCAATCTATTTGGGGATAGATTTAAGCCTCTAAAGCATTGTTAGTCTACATTTACTTCCTTCCTTTCAAAAACAAAAAGCACTCTAGACTTGCCAAGTGTAATGGGACCATTATATTTTTTAGCAGCCCTCACAAACCCAGCAGAAGCAATCTCTTCGTTCATTGTTGCCTCTTGGACTAACAGCTCTTGCTTCTTTCCTGGGTCCCTTATACTGGAAGACCATCTGAGAAGGATTTACATCTGTGGGTAGAAAAAAGAGAGACAGATGTTAGGCACCTCCTTTCTGCTCATCTTCATTTCCTTTTCAACATTATCCCAAATTACCCAAGTCTTTCACCATGCAAGTCCAATGAAACAAAGTTACGGCCAAGTTAGGATTAATAGAACCCTCAGTTAATATAAGAAACATTCAAACCTGTAGAGAACTTTTCTTTTTTTAATATATTTTATTGATTTTTTTACAGAGAGGAAAGGAGAGGGATAGAGACTTAGAAACATCTATGAGAGAGAAACATTGATCAGCTGCCTCCTGCACACCTCCCACTGGGGATGTGCCCGCAATCAAGGTACATGCCCTTGACCGGAATCGAATCTGGGACCTCTCAGTCTGCAGGCCGACGCTCTATCCACTGAGTCAAACCGGTCAGGGCTGTAGAGAACTCTATTATGAGTTCTCTTTGAGCCAAATTGATGACAATTGCTGAGAAACAAAATCTCAACAGATAGAGAAAATGCTCCAGAGAATAGCAGTTTTACAGCTTATTTTATACATTAGAATCAAAGGAAGAAGGGGGGGCGGTGGTACATGAAATGGGTGGTAGATTAAGGGGGCAGGGGAAAGCAAAGCTGGGAAATCTCTGAAATTGTATAAAAAGGCAAAGTAGAGAAACACACACTTCTTTTTTATTGGTGGGTACAAGATAGTTAATAATTAACATTTATTGCACATAGAGATGGTATATAGGAAACAAGATACAGTGAGGGTTTCTGTGGCCTCTGTTGTGGTGGGTGTGCCCTGAGGGGTCTGGAAAAGGAGTTTACTCTGACATTTCAAAGGTATGTTATCTGAGAGGCGAAAGGACAATAGACAGGCTCACTTAGGTAAAAACTGACCTTTGTCAAGGAAGCTGAGGCCTAGGACATGACTACTCACCATAACTTGCTTTTAGTTAGGAATTTTTATGTTCGGACCATCCTGTGTGGTTACCTTCAGTCTCTGACTTTGTAGCACTGGCTTCCCCTGAGCTTGTCAGATTTAGTATGTGGCCATTTTTTCGTCCACACCTACAAGACTAACATCTTTAGGTAAATATCCTATTAAACAAAACTCATAGACACAGACAAGAGTATGGTGATTACCAGAGTAAGACAGGATAGGGGAGCTAAATAATGATGGGAGGAGACTTGACTTTGGGTGGTGAACACACAATACAATATACAGATGATATATTACAGTATTGTGCACCTGAAACTTATTTTATTAATCAGTGTCACTCCAATAAATTCAATACAAATTTAGAAAATAAAATAAAAGTGAGGCACTAAAAACAAAAACAGGGTTATAAAGTTTTAGCTGACCTGTCCTATAAGATTGATTTTTTTTTGTTATCATTTTATAAAGGGAAATGAATTCTAAATATGGTCTCTGAGCGCCTGGGGCTGGTTGATGAGAAGCATGTGATGTGTGTGTGTGTGTGTGTGTGTGTTTGCATGTGCATACATGAGCATGTACCCATGTACTTACTTCTTCTCATTGCGGCCTTGCCTTTTGCACAGAATTATTTATTGGCCTGTTTTCTCTTTAGTTTCACAATAAGGTGACCTGCTTTATGCTGCATCAAATTGAGGAACCCTGCTCCCTGGGAGCTCATGCTGCTGTTATTGTCCCGCCCACCTGGATCATTAAGGTGAAGAAACCTCAGGTAACTGCAGGGACCCTGGTGCTGCTGGCCCAGTGCAGAGAAACAGTAACTGTTGCTTCTTGCTTTTCTCCCTCTGACTAGTCTTTGGGTTTCTACGATCTCTGCTCATTCATCCCCTTGGTCCCATGCTCAGCTTCCCCAGTTCATCCCATTAGCCCATCACCTTACTGCGTTGGGCTCTCTCATGGATCCAGCCTCCTCTTCTAAAGAAATCAGACTCCACAGCAGGAGTATTTCCCTCCCATCCATGTAATATCATGAAATGATATTCTCTCCTGAGTTGGGTTCTTTCCTGAGTTGCTCAAATACTAGTGGCTATAGCTGAATCTTGTGCACCTCTCTTCTCTTCCATCCTGGGCACCCCCGGGGAGTGAATGTGAGGGCAAACTGTGCAGGCTTCCTTGTTTGGTCGAGATCACCACCACTTCCAACCTGAACAGCAGACTGTGGGGCGTGATCTTCCTAAACACACAGGGTCTGCTTAGAGAGCAACACTCCTCACTTAAGGCCAAGTAGAACTTAGCCTCTTAGTACATAATCTCACATTGCATTCAGTCCTCACTTTCTTCCAAGTGGGTCTCTGCTTCAATTCTGGGAAACCTTGGTGGTTTTTCCTAAGGTCAGAATCTTTGAGAGGAAATTTCCTCCCTTTGTAGTATACGTCTTAGACAGTAGCTCCAAGTTCTGGGACGATTTTCAGTGCCACAGGGAGAAGGTTATGCCTCCCTAAGGTGCAGGAACCTTAGGAAGTCTTACTGAGTATAATATCTCTAAATGATGTGGCCATCCTTTTTCATGTGGGCTCCAAAATCATCATGCAATTTATTCCCATTGACTCAGTTTTTTATTTAAAAACTGTTGGATCAGAGACACTGTTTTGCTTTGTGTGTTTTACATGAAGTTTAGTCTCTGCCGATGAGTAACGTTTGGTAATAATCTTTCCAAGTCATAATCCATAGAAGAAGCCCTTGGGAAATCTTTTCCAGAGACAAGTACGGTTTCTACACATTAAAATATGGGGCCTCTAGTCCTTTCATTTTACATTTTAGATCCAAAGGCTAAGAGACGTTAAATTGAGTTGCCCAAGGTGTTATACACAACTTTGTACTGTCTGAAATTCAAGTGTACTGATTTCCAATTTTGTATTATTTTAAGATCTCTTTTATATTTTTACTTTTGTTTTTCCCCTAATATTTACTAAATCTCTCCAAGAGCTTTATATTAAATATTCAGTTAAATCAACGTCAAAAACCTCAATGGTATCAGGAAGGCTACTGGGCATTATGATGCAATACATGATCTTTGCTCTGAATAGCCATGTAGTTATCTTAAGAAAAGACCACAGAGAGCTTCATAGAGGAGGTGGCTTTTATTCTGCCTCTTAAAGATAGGTGGGATCTAGATCAGTGGAGCAGAGAGGAAATAACAGGCAGGAGATAGGCATGAGCAAGGGTATTGGGCCAAAAATTATATTCATGGGATTATGAGACTAGCTTGACTATAGTGGAAGATTTATTCAGGGTGTATGTAGGGTAGGGGTATGTGTTTGCTAAGGCCTAGCTGGCAGGGCATTTTTTATACATGTGAACTTTATCCTTTTAAGCAACAGAGTAATAGAGGAAAAATTATATTTTAGAAGGAAACAACTAGCAAGAGTGTGTAGGATAACCTGGTGGTATTGGATTTTGGAAGACTGGAGATAGACCAGTTAGGAAAATCAGAAGATAATACCACTTTGCAGGGAAATTGTAAGTTTCCTTTACTAAACTTTAAAAATATTTTTGTTATGGAAAATTTTAAGCAAGTGAAGAGAGAGAGAGAAGATTATAATGAACTAGAGGCCCAGTGCACGAAATTCATGCACTCAGGAGGGGATCCCTCAACCCGGCCTAGAGCGGGCCTAACCCGGAAGTCGGACATCCTTAGTGCTGCTGTGGAGGCGAGAGAAGCTCCCGCCACTGCGCTCACCAGCCGTGAGCCCGGCTTCTGGCTGAGTGGTGCTCCCCCTGTGGGAGCACACTAACCACCAGGGGGCAGCTCCTGTGTTGAGCATCTGCCCCCTCGTGGTCAGTGTGCGTCAGCAACCGGTCGTTCCAGCAGTCAGTCAATTTGCATATGAGCCTTTTATTATTTTGAAATGGCCAGTGCATGTCATGGCAGCTCCTGCATTGAGAGTCTGCCCCCTGGTGGTCAGTACGCATCATAGCTACCAGTTAGACGGACACTTAGCCTTTTATACATATAGACTAGGGGCCCGGTGCATGAAATTCGTGCACTGGGTAGGGGGGTGGGAGAGAGTCCCTCAGCCCAGCCTGCCCCCTCTCACATACTGGGAGCCCTCAGGCGTTGACCCCCATCACCCTCCGATCGCCTGATCGGCCCCTTGCCCAGGCCTGACGCCTCCGCCAGAGGTGTCAGGCTTGGACAGGGGACCCCCATCTCCCCCCGATCACTGGCTCTGGCCCCCGCCCAGGCCTGAGGCCTCTGGCCCAGGAATCATGCCTGGGCAGGGGACCCCCATCTCCCTCTGATCGCTTGCTCCACCCCCCACCCAAGCCTGACGCCTCTGACCCAGGCTTCAGGCCTGGGCAAGGGGACCATCATATCCCCCCAATCCCCGGCTCCGCCCCCCACCCAGGCCTGATGCCTCGGCCAGAGGAGTTGACCCTCATCACCCTCCGATCACCAGTCACCGGATCGGCCCCTTGACCAGGCCTGAGGCCTCTGGCAGAGGTGTCAGGCCTGGGCAGGGGACCCCCAGCTCCCCACGGTTGCAGGCTCCGCCCCTGCCCAGGCCTAACGCCTCTGGCCTAGGCATCTTGCCCGGGCAGCGGGGACCTGCAGTGGCAGCGGGGGGTGCCGCGATCGTGGGCTTCGCTTTAGGCCCAGGCAAGGGACCCCTAGCTCCTGGGACTGCCAGCTTCGACTGTGCCCAGCTCCCATCGCTGGCTCCACCCCTACTTCCTGCTATCACTGGCCAGGGCGGCAAAGGCTCCTGATTCTCCGATCATGGCTGGGGGGCAGGGCAAAGGCGGCCCTGGGGCCGCCTTTGCCCTGCCCCCCAGCTCTTAGCTCTCCCCTGGGTTTCAGATCACTGTCAGTGGCAGGGGGCTTCTTCCTGCTTTCCCTTTCGCCTCCCTGCATTGTGCCTACATATGCAAATTAGTCGCCATCTTGTTGGCAGTTAACTGCCAATCTTAGTTGGCAGTTAATTTGCATATAGCCCTGATTAGCCAATGAAAACGGTATCGCCGTACGCCAATTACCATTTTTCTCTTTTATTAGTGTAGATTCTTCTGTAGCATGAACTTTTCTACCATTATTGTTTCATATATTCCTGCACCACACCATAATTTCTTGTCCTTAATCATTTTTTTCTATTTTGAGATTCACAGACAGTCATAAGAAATAATACAGAGAGATTCTGTGTACACTTTACAAATCCCCGCCCCCCATTGTGATTTCCTGCGGAATCACAGTACAGTACATCACAACCAGATGTTACCATTGACTTAGTCAAGATACAGAACAGCTGCCACAAGTATCCCTCATGCTGCCTTTTCATAACCACATCCATTTCTCTCCTGGTCCCACCCCATTTACTCTGTCTTCCTGAAAACAGAAGTTTCTCCCCTTTTTTCTTTTACTGGGGTATCTTAAAGCAAGTCTTAGGATATCATTTAATCTGTAAACACTTCATTTTGCTTCTCTAAAATATAACATTTTAGAAAGACAACCACATTTTGTCACCCACCAAAATTAATAATTCCTTAAAATAGTTTCTGATTGTCTATTTTATATATATAGTTTGTTTGTTTGTTAATCCTCACATGAAAACATTTTTTTCATTGATTTTCAAAGAAAGTCGAAGGTAGGGGAGAGATAGAGATAGATAGAGAAAGAGAGAGATAGAAACATCACCGATGTGAGACACATATTGATTGGTTGCCTCTTGCATGCACCCTGGCTGAAGGCTGGGAGCAAACCCGCAACCCAGGTTCATGCCCTTGACCAGGAATTGGACCTGCAGTCCTTTGGTGCGGGGGTGGGGTGGGTGGGTTTGTGTTACACTCTAACCACTGAGAACACGGGCCAGGGCTCAAAAATTTTTTTTCACAGTTATCTTTTTCAAATCAAGATCCAGAGGTCACAGGTGCTTTTTTGGTGACATATTGTAAGTCTCTTTTAATCTGTAATAATCCCCTCTTTTATTTTTCATGCCATTTATTGAATAAATTGGATCACTGTATCTGGAATTTCTCAGATTTTTATTTTCGTTGATTGTATCCTGATATTGTTTTAAATGATTTCACGGAAGGCCCCTGTTTCTTGTAAAATAATACTTAAACTTAATTAGATTCAGGTTTAATTCAGGGGTGATGATATGTATTTCTGTCATGTTGCTAACTTTTAGTGATGTGAAGGTTGACCAGTAAGTTCAGGAACTGTCATCTTAATTCATCTGTCATAAAGTTGTCCATCAACCTTTCACCTATTGTTTTATCTAATAAGTATCATTACCTATGTTATCATTTCATTAGGGTTGCCAAAGGGTGACTTCCCAATTTTCACTCTTCATTTTTTTGGCTATGATTTTCCTAAAAGAGACTGTTCCCTTATTACCAGCCAGTACATTACAAATGCTTGAGTATTTGCCTTTATTTGTAAATTTTCAGAAGAAATAATAAGTTACCATGTTAGCAACTTTTATTACGTGGCCAAGAGTGGTGATGGTTGTGGTGGTTGTCTTGCAGAGTATAATTTTGAATTATGAACCTATATCATTGTGTGATATATATGGCATATGATGTGTTTTAATTCACTGGCATCATTATTATTCTTATATTCATATTGTTCCATATTTGACCAATTAGGACCTCTTCCAGGTGACTCCTGTCTCCATATTTTATGAGCCATGAAGTTTTTGCTAGCTTCTTTGGTTTCAGGAATCACATCATGTGCCAGGATTATCTTGTGCGTTTCCTGTTCATACCTGTGAT